GGGATTACAATACATAAATGTTGACTGTGTTTTCCCAGAACTCTAGCCACTGGGCTAGTGGGCAGAATGGGACTTTGCAGTATTCTGTTAATGTCACCATTAGGAAGAGGCAAGCCAAGAAAGAGTGCTGAACAACACCTGTGAGACTGTCACAGACAGCAGAGACTACATGCAGGTCGTACTGGAGCTGACTGTGGGACCAAGTCATGGTGGAGAGAGATGCCGAATCTAGATTGTCCATCATATAGATATGGGGGTTCATAGCTGGGAGTCAGCTAGTCCATAGTCCAAGGTCATTGTATATCTGCTCCTGGCTGAAGAGCTGTGACCTCATAACAAAGAGAGAACCAGTGCTATCTTGAGCTGGAACCTGCAGCGTAAGATGGTGATTATCTTATTTAGGCTGGTCAAGGTCACTGAGTGTGCAGCTTGCTGCTCTGCAGGCAAAGGAACCTTGAAGCAGTGGCCTGACCAGTCAGAGTAGAAGTACTGTTCTACCCTCATCCTACCCGCTAAGTGTGAAATAAGCAAAGGAGGTTGGGCATGGTGGCTCACACCTGTAATCTCAACTCTCAGAACTTTGGGAGGCCAAAGCAGACAGATCACCTGAGGTCAGGAGTTTGAGACCAGCCTGGCCAACATGGTGAAACCCCCGTCTCTACTAAAACTACAAAAATTAGCTGGGCGTGGTGGCATGTGCCTATAATTCCAGGTACTTGGTAGGCTGAGGCAAGAGAATCACTTGAACCCAGAAGGCGGAGGTTGCAGTGAGCCAAGATTGTGCCACTGCACTCCAGCCTAAGCAACAACAGCAAAATTCTATCTCAAAAGAAAAAAAAAGATAACACTCCTTTTTTTTTTAATTATACTTTAAGTTCTGGGGTACATGTGCAGATCATGTAGGATTGGTACATAGGTATGCACATGCCATGATGGTTTGCTGCCTCCATCTTTTCATCACCTACATTAGGTATTCCTCCTAATGCTGTCCCTCCCCAATCTCTCCATCTCCTGCTATCCCTCCCCTAGCTTCCTACCCCCAACAGGTCCCAGGATAACACTCTTTTCAAAGTGTCCAGCATCCTTTCCAAACAAATGCTTTGGGATCGGTGTAATAGATTGAGAAATTAATAGATGTGTGTTCTTCCTGGTACATGTATTTATTTCCCTTTTCCATCCTTGTTCTAAGAAGGTAATCAGGCCTTTGGGTTTCCTTCATTTAAGATGTGGGTTTCTTTTGGTGTTATGGGGCTATAGGTGGAGGGTGCAGCAGACATTCTTTCCCAGAACTTTTGAAGCCTAAACTCACAAAGATGGTAGAGCTGGATGGCCTGAGGAGAGAGATTTTTTAGCCTGTCTGGGAGTACATGCAACTCTCCGTGTGGAGAAAACAGCCAGAGGGTGCTGCTCTGTGTCCTGTACTGCTGAGAGGCATCCCTGAGCCCTCTGAGAGCAATACCTGAGAACAAACAGTGGGGACCGGGGCTGGACATTGGGGAGCCAAATGATTGACCTCCTGGACTGATTTGCCCTTTCCCTAGCATTCTCATGCCCCTGGAAACCCAGAATTTTTGCAGGATCCTCTGTGTGTATGCCTGAGTGGGTGGTAGGGAGATGGTGAAATGAGAAAGGACATCAGGGTTCGGCACAGTGGCTCACACCTGCAATCGCAGCACTTAGGGTGGCCAAGGCAGTCTGCTCACCTGAGGTCAGGAGTTTGAGACCAGCCTGGCCAACATGGCAAAACCCCATCTCTACTAAAAATACAAAAGATTAGCCAGGAATGGTTGTGTATGCCTTTAATTCCAGCTACTCAGCAGACTGAGGCAGAATCACCTGAACCTGGGAGGTGGAGGTTGTAGGGAGTCTAGATCATGCCATTGCATGACAGCATGAGCAAAAAGAGTAAAACTCTATCTCAAAAAAAAAAAAAGAAAGAAAAGAAAAGAAAGAAAGAAAGGACATCAGAATTATGACTGAGATGGTATTTTCCACTCACCAACTGGGTGAAGGCTCTGTGCATATTTTTCTCTCTTTTTTTTAATACAAAGTCTTGCTCTGGCCAGGCGCCATGGCTCACCATATAATCCAAGCACTTTGGGAGGCCAAGGCGGGTGGATTATGAGGTCATGAGATCGAGACCATCCTGGTCAACATGGTGATACTCAGTTTCTACTAAAAATACAAAAAATTAGCTGGGCACGTTGACCAGGATGGTCTCGATCTCTTGACCTCGTGATCCACCGGCCTCGGCCTCCCAAAGTGCTTGGATTACTGGCGTGAGCCACCGCACCCGGCCCATAAATGCGACATTTTTATATCTGAGTATGGCGCAGTAAAATTCGCATCAGTTACGCTGGTTTCTGAAAACTGCCTACCTATAGGTGTTGAGTAGGGGGAGCTCTGGGGTACAACTTGTAGAACCCAATAGAAGGTTCCCACTGGCCCCAAATAGCTCCCCTACCACCTCATCTGTGCCTGGCATTTTCTTCTCATTAGCATTATTCCTGTACTTCAGGTGTTTCCTTAGTAAGAGGAAACCTTTAACACCCATTACCTGACTGGCATGGCACACTGCAAGGAGCTGGACCGAGAGTGGTGCTAATGAGGAAACTTCACTGTTTGTGGTCTCTTTTCTGTTTGGTGAAAAGGCTACACCAGGGGCTGGTTTGGGCTTAACTTCCCCTCAAAGCACATGGTGTGGTGATGTGCAGCTCCCTTCCAGGGGCCTCTGCCTCCTTGGGACCCCAGAATCTTTTCCTAACACAGAAGCTGCTCCTGACCACTGTTGATCCGCAGCAGTGAAAGGTGACCCAAGGCTGGGTGCGGTGGCTCACGCCTATAATCTCAGCACTTTGGGAGGCTAAGGCGGGCGGATCACCTGAGGTCAGGAGTTCGAGATCAGCCTGGCCAACACAGTGAGGCCCTGTCTCTACCAAAAATACAAAAAACTATTTGGGCATGGTGGCAGGCACCTGTAGTCCCAGCTACTCAGGAGGTTGAGGCAGGAACATCACTTGGAGGTTGAGGTTGCAGTGGGCCGAGCTCATGCCATTGCGCTCCAGCCTCTGCAACAAAGCAAGATTTTGTCTAAAAAAAAAAAAAATTAAATAAATAAAAAATAAAAATAAAAAAGTGACACAAGCACAAGGGGTCCCAAGAGTCCAACAGCCTGCCCTGGCCCCTGGCCTCTCCTCCATTTTAGGGAGATGGGGAATCCTTCCCAAGTTTCCTGTTGATAATTTCTTGGATACAGTATTCCTTTTTCAGGGAGTGGAATTGTGAGTTGCTTACTGGAAAGTCCCTTCCATTAATCCTTTTAGTATCCATGAGCTCGGGCCAAAAATCTCAGCATCAATCCTGATTCCTCCCCTTCTCTCCCTCTCCACATTCAGGCCATCAGTGAGGTCGGTCAGTTCTGTCTTCATGAGGCAGCTCAAACCACAAGGACATGTGTTACACAGAAAAAATAAACCTGTGTGTACGTGCATGGGGCAGTTTGCTCACAGCTTTCCTACTGAAGAAGGCCGGAGAACATAGGAAGTGGAGGTTAAAGATTTGACTGCATAGGAACAAAAGTTTAGGTCTCAGGATTTGAAAACAGGGTGATAAAAGCTGAGTTTTAAAATACACTATATTTTCCAGTCTTGCTCTGCCACTAAAAAAAAAAAAAAAAAGATTTTTTTTTTTTTTTCTTGAGATGCTGTCTTGCTCTGTTGCCCAGGCTGGAGTGCAGTGGTGAGATCTCAGCTCATTTCAACCTCTACCTCCTGGGTTTTAACTATTCCCCTACTTTAGCCTCCTGAGTAGCTAGGATTACAGGTGCCTGCCATCTCGCCCAGCTAATTTTTGCATGTTAGTAGAGACAGGGTTTCACCATGTCCCTACTTGGCCGGGCTATCTTGAACTCCTGACCTCAAGTGATCCTCCCACCTCAGTCTCCCAAAGTGCTGGAATTAAGGGTGTGAGCCACCGCGCTCAGCCACAGCCACAGCCACAGCCTCAAGAAAACAAAACTTCTGAAAATTGGTATGTGCAGTCTGAGCACATATACTTCCCAGTTTTAGGTCAAAAAGTTTGGTGTAGTTAAATCAGACCCCAGACAGGCCCGTAAACTGGAGGGCAGAGTTCAGCCAGGTGGTATAAATCTCAGGTGAACTGTGGGTTCCCTGGAGGCAGAGTGGTTGAGGTAGTATGGTGTCAAGGCAGGCAAGGGGACAGGAGACTGATGGATCATGAGGACTTGTTCCTCAAGTCTGTAGCTCAATGGCTGTTCTTCAGGGCAGGGACCCTTTCAGTCAAAGCCTGGAAGGGGGTCTTCCCAGAGGAAGGCGGTGTGAGCTAGGGAGACGTGGAGTGAGGGAGTGCAGACCTCCACCAGACCACGAGCTCCCTGGGAGCTGGGCCAGAGACTGGGTTCCCTGGAGGATCCAGTGAAAAATGTTTTCTTTCTGACTCAAAGGCTGGGGTGATTTTGCAGACACAAGCAGGTGCCCTGGTATTACGGGTGCCAGATGCCAGATTCTAATTGGGATCAATTAGAATCCCTGGTGGGAAGGCTGCGGGGCTTTTGAACATCTTTTCCTGGGTTCAAATTCCCACTCTACCACTTAGTGCACTTAGTGGCTGGGTGACTTTGGGCAAATTACCTTCCTATGCCTGTTTTTTTTTTTGTTTTTTCATTTCGAAGATGAAAGCCAATCATGTGACAAGCCTTGTAGGATTGTTACAAGCATCAAATCAGTTAAATGTCTGGTTAAACAAAGTGAATTCTCAAGTCAGTATGTTTTAGTTATGATTGGCACCTTTACAGGGTATGGCAGAACCTTCAATCCACTGTGTCTTGGCCTGGGAAAACCCTGCATCCTGAGTAGTAAATGAATCGGAAGAGTCCCAAGATGCATGCAACAGGCAATGAGCTTCCCTATCTCACCCACCCCAATTATGACATCATCACGCTGGTGCTGGTGGAGGTTGTGTCCCCAGAATGTAAAGGAGGAGTGTCCTCAGAGGCCCAGTGCTGCCCACACCCTGCCTCTGTCTCAGCCTTCAGGGCACCCCAAGTTTGCTGTGCTCTAAGAAATGGGGAAGCACCAATTTCCAGAAAAATCATAGTGAAGTTAACCTGAGGAGGTTGAGAGACGTTGGTAAGAATTAGCTTTTGCCCAAAGAGAGACATAAGGCTGGAGAAAAGAGAAGTAGTAATTTGTTTTCCAAATCGCAGACCTGGATCTCTCATCAAGTTTCCCACTGTCTAAATCAGGGTTCATGGCTCATTTTCATGGGACACATGGGCTGGGGATGGGAGTGAGGAAAGAAGGGTGACAGAGACACATCTGGGCTCACACTGTTGTGGCTGCTCAGAAGGGAAGGAAAGCAGCTTCTTCTGTTTGGAGCTTGGTAGACCCAAGCCTTCTGATCTGCCCACCCAGCAGAGAAAATAGGCAGGAAGAGAAACTGAACAGAGAGGTGGAGGAGGAAGCTCACACAGGGTGGTTGGTTGTGCTGTTGATTTTATACCACCAGAGCTAATAACCAGCTCTATTTTTGAGGCTTCTGCCTTTTGATAACCTCAGAGCAGGCCACATTTCCTGATTTGGCCATAAATGGGGAAAAGGACTTGCCTACAATCAGTACTGAGGTAGGAGGTAGGACCTGGGCAGGAGGCCTTTCAGCAGTAGCGTCTGCAGGTGGAAAATGCCAGCAGGCCTTTCTCCTGCTCAACCTCTCTGTGTCTCAGGACATAGAGCAAGTTGTGGCTTCTCAGTCTCCAACCAGCTCCATGTGCCTTTCCTCCCTATGCTGCAGGTGTTCCTTTCCTCCCTCCATCACATGCTGTCACCACTTGCTCTATGTCCTGGGACAACTCTCCCCACTCAGAGCCTGACCACAGGGCAGAGGAAAATCTTCCCAGCTTTCTCCTCCAGAAAACCAGCGTGCAGACCCTCTTCTCCTTACTGATTCTATTGCTACTCACTAAAGAGAAGTAGAAAAGATCACAAAAAAGCAACACATCTAGGAGTGTTAAAAATGTAAGCAGTTTTTCCTCTCTGATCTCTGATCCCATTCATTTGCCCATTCATTCATTCATTCATTCATTCATTCATCTGTCCATCCATTCATTTGTCCATCCAATGAGTACTTACTGAGCATCTGCTTTGTACCAGGGAATGTCCTGAGCCCTGAGGATGCAGCAGTGAACAAGACATATGCAGACATGGTCCCTGCTCTCCAGTGGGTCCTGACTCTTTTGACACAATCATGGAAGCCTGTCGACTTGTGCTCTCTGAAGTCCTGGTCCCTGTGGGAGCTGGGGACAATACCTACAAGAACCCACATTTTAGTCCAAGGGAAGAATAGACAGTCTGAGTGGTTGACCTGCATAGCTAGAAGCAGTGCAGCCAGGGCTGGACGTGCTAGTCTTGGAAGAGGCGGGGAAGCCAGAAGTCAGGGCCAAAGGGGCAGTGTCATGTGTTAAGAAATGAGCTCAGGGCGCAAACGAATGAGTCCAGGCATTAGGAAGGGGTCGGGAGGCAGAGGGTAGGGGAAGTGGCCAGTGATGGGTTAGGATTAGAAAAAGGCAAGGGTTTTGGCAATCTATCTTGCTGGGAGCTGGTTGACTGGCAGGAAATCAAGGGTTGATGATGGTAACAACAATAATCTTTGTCAAGTGTGTATTGAGTACTTACCGCGACTGTGCCAGCCACCAAGGCAAGCACTTTACATATATGGTTGGTCTCGCATTAAATGGTAAAGCGTTGGCTGGATGTCTGCTCTTAAGCATAGAAAGGAGGCGGGTGCGGTGGCTCACACCTATAATCTCAGCACTTTGGGAGCCTGAGGCAGGCAGATCAGGAGGTCAGGAGTTTGAGACCAACCTGGCCAACATGGTGAAACCCCATCTCTACCACTAAAAATACAAAAATATTAGCTGGGTGTGGTGGCGCACGCCTGTAATCCCAGCTACACTGGAGGCTGACGCAGGAGAATCATTTGGACCCAGGAGGCAGCGGTTGTGGTGAGTGGAAATCACACCATTGCACTCTAGCCTGGGCAACAGAGCAAGATTCCATGGTGGCACATGCCTGTAGTCCCAGCTACTCAGGAGGCTGAGGCAGGAGAATCGCTTGAACCTGGAGGTAGCGGTTGCAATGAGCCAAGATCGTGCCACTGCACTCCAGCCTGGGGACAGAGTGAGACACTGTCTCAAAAAAATAAAATATAGAAAAAGGAACCAAACCTACTCTTTCTAGACCCCAGCAGAAACTTAAGACCGTCTCTTAAGATGAACCAGCTCACTCCTGATCCCAAGCTCTTCTTATCATCTACATCCTACAGTGAATATAAAGATGGAGGCCGGGCATGGTGGCTCATGCCTGTAATCCCAGCACTTTGGGAGGCTGAGGCAGGCGAATCACCTGAGCTCAGGAGTTCGAGACTAGCCTGCCCAACATGGTGTAACCCCATCTCTACTAAAAAAAAAAAAAAAATACAAAAATTAGCCAGGTGTGGTGATGGGCACCTGTAATCTAAGCTACTTGGGAAGCTGAGGCAGGAGGATTGCTTGACCCTGGGAGGTGGAAGCTGCAGTGAGCTGAGATTGCACCACTGCACTCCAGCCTGGGCAACACAGTGACACTCTGTCTCAAAATAAATATATAAATACAAATAAAGATGGAACGAAGGCAGGTAATAGTCCCCTTACCCAGGTGGACACTTTGCTCTCTCTGAGCAACTCATCCCTTTACTAAACTTTTGTACACTCCAGGAATGATCATCTTTGAGTATCACCTTTCAAAGAGACACAGATTCAAGTGCCTTGGGGGCCAGGCAGGTAGTGTACATGAGTGTGAGTGAAGAAAAACCAACCCTAATTTTTAGAGCCAGAGAAAACCCGTGTGGACTGTGGCCATTGGAAGCATACCTGTCCTTGCAAGCATAAAACCCAGTTGCCAGATCTTCTGATTTTTTTTCAAGAGAAGTCAGAAAATCACAGATTACAATATGAAATCTCTAAATATTTTATTTGACAAAAGATGAACAAATTAATTAATTGACAAAAAGTACAATATTTACAACAATCAGTACCTCTCTGGGACTTCAGTTATACAAATCAAATTAAATACATTTTACACTCTGTCTTGCAACATCTCAGCAATATCAAAACCTAGCTCAGGCCAGGCATAGTGGCTCACACATGTTATCTCAGCACTTTGGGAAGCCAAGGAGGACAGATCACTCGAGGTCAGGTGTTCAAGACCAGCCTGGCTAACATGGTGAAACTCCATCTCTATTAAAAATACAAAAATCAGCCTGACATGGTGGTAGGTGCCTGTAGTCCCAGCTACTTGGGAGGCTGAGGCAGGAGAATTGCTTGAACCCAGGAGGCGGAGGTTGCAGTGAGTCAGAATTACACCATTGCCTCCAGTCTGAGTGACAGAGTGAGACTGTCTCAAAAATCAAACAAACAAACACAAGTTCAAGGTCTCTGGAACTCATTTCTGAAACATGTTAAATCCTTCCAATGAGATAGTAACACCCTTAACTATTGTGTGAATGTCATTTTTTGCCAAAACTCTAAAGCAGCTTCATAATTCCAGTCATTTACGGACTTAGGAAGGAGTGGAAAGGAACGGAGGGTGAGAAAAGAAAGGGAAGGGGAGGGGAAAGCTGAAGATGAAAGAACTGGGTGTGCTGGGCACGGTGGGTGGCTCATGCTTGTAATCCCAGCACTTTGGGAGGTCAAGGCAGGTGGATCACTTGAGGTCACGAGTTCGAGACCAGCCTGACCAACATGGTGAAAGCCCATCTCTACTAAAAATACAAAAATTGCTCAGGAGGCTGAGGCAGGAGAATCGCTTGAATCCAGGAGGTGAAGGTTACAGTGAGCCAAGATTGCACCACTGCATTCCAGCTGGTCTCATAGTACCTTTTATACTAAGACAGAGAGAACATTATGACAAGCACAAGTAGAATCTGTTTTCCAGAGCTGCTGCTTTCTCATGAAACCTGATGGGACAGTTGGACAGTTCATAGCCTGAAAGTTACACAAGTGACGTGGGGTAAAAAATGGGGAAACATGATGAATTTGGTTATACTCTACATAGCTCAGGCAGGACAGGTGGGGCGGAAGCAGCGCAGCCTCAGGCTGCCTGGCAAGCACAGTCCCCTCCTGGCACATATCCTAGCAGAGCTGCCTTGGCAAACAGTTGGCAGGGCTTTTATAGAGGAAAGAGTTGGGACTTTACTGTTTTCACAACAATGGCTCAGTGAAGGAGGCAGAGGTAACATTAGGGATAAAATAATTAAATCAACCCTTGGGCAAGAGAGATAAGAATCCCAGGGGTGAAAGGACAGAATCCTGGGAAGTAAATGCAATGGAGTTAGATGCCTTCTAAGCAAAAGGCCAGCTGTGCCGTGCTGAGACTTCAAATTTGGTGATGACAGCACAGACAGGGGTCCAGAGACAGTTCTGAGCCATACAGCCCTGCCTTGCTCAACCTTAGAGACACACTTCCTGATTTAGTTCAGAGCATGAGATTTGGAGGATGTTCACCTGGTTTCAAATCCTTGTTCCAAGGATTAGCTTATTCATTCACTCAGAAAATATTGATTGAGCATCTGTGTAGTTCCAGGACACACCAGCAAACAAAACAGACAGGATCCCTGCCCGAATGGAACTCGCATTAGAGTGGGTGGAAGAGTCAGTAAACCAAATAGTATTAACAAGCCAAATGACAAGATTCTTAGAAGGGGACAGCTAAATGCTTTATAGAGGGAAAGGCTGGTATGATGGAGCAAGAGTATGGGGGTGGGGTTTAGTTTTTATTGTATTTATTTATCTTTAGAGACAGGATAACTCTGTCACCCAGGCTTGAGGGCAGTGGCACAATCAGAGCTCACTACAGTCTCAAACTCCTGGGCTTAAACCACTGCATCCGACTATTTTTATTTATTTATATTATTTTTTGTAGAGAAAGGAGCTAACTATTTTGCCCAGGCTGGTCTTGAACTCCTGGCCTCAAGCCATCCACCAACCGTGGCCTTCCAAAGTGCTGGGATTATAGGCATGAGCCACTGTGCCTGGTTGAGTTCAGGTCAGGCTTTATGGAGATGGCAGCGTTTGAACAAAGGCTGGAAGGAGGTGAGTAAGTGAGCCATGTGGTTGCCTGAGGGACAGCAGTCTAACAATGGGAGACAAGCAAGGTGGAAGCTTGACTCCTGTGTTCAAGAATGGAGAGGCCAGAGTGGCTGAGCAGAGAGAGCCAGTGACAGGTCATGGGGACAGGATCACATAGTACCCAGGAGGTGCTTCTGGCTTATGTTCTGAGAGCAAGAGACAGCACTGGAGAGATTTCTTTCTTTACATTTTTTTTTTTAGACGGGGTCTTACTCTGTCGCCCAGGCTGGAGTGCAGTGGCACGATCTCAGCTCACTGCAACTCAGCCTCCCGGGTTCAAGTGATTCTCCTGCCTCAGCCTCCTGAGTAGCTGAGATTACAGGTGTGTTCCATGATGCCTGGCTAATTTTTCATATTTTTAGTTGAGACAGTGTTTCACCATGTTGGTCAGGCTAGTCTCTAACTCCTGATCCCGTGATCTGCCCGCCTTGGCCTCCCAAAGTGCTGAGATTACAGGTGTGATGCAAGATTTTTCTTTCTTTCCTTCTTTCTTTCTTTTTCTTTCCTTCTTTCTTTCTTCCTTCCTTTCTTTCCTTCTTCCTTTCTTTCTCTTCTCTTCCTTCTTTCCCTCCCTCCATCCCTCCCTTCCCTTCTTCTTCTCTTTCTCTTTCTTTCTTTTTTTTTTGAGACTGACATTCACTCCGTTACCCAGGCTGGCATGCAGTGGTGCAACTCGGCTCACTGCAACCTCCACTTCCCAGATTCAAGTGATTCTCCTGCCTTGGCCTCCTGAGAAGTTGGGATTACAGGAACTAGCGATAGAGTTTCACCACGCAGGCCAGGCTGATCTCAAACTCCTGAGCTCAAGTGATCCGCCCACCTCAATCTCCCAAAGTGCTGGGATTACAGACATGAGCCACAACACCCAGCCAGCACCAGAGAGATTTAAACTGAGGGGAGACGTGCGCTGACTTACAATTAAAAATCTTTAAACAGGCTGGGCTCAGGAGGCTGAGGCAGGAGAATCACTTGAACCCAGGGGCAGAGGTTGCAGTGAGCCGAAATCACGCCATTGCACTGCAGCCCGGGCAACAAGAGTGAACCTCGGTCTTAAAAAGACAAAAAACAAACAAACAAAACCCTTTAAACAGGTTGCTGTTAAAGGACTTCTGGGGGCCAAGGATGCAAGCCAGGACACTGACGAGGAGGCCCCTGCAGTCATTCAAGAGGGAATTGATGAGGCTTGCACCGGCCTGGCAGCAGGAGAGGTGGTGTAAAGAAACAGGATTCTGGATGAGTTTAGCCTTCCCTCATTTACTAGCTATGTGACCTTGAAGATGTCTCTTAACCTCTCTAAACCTCAGATAACTCCCTTGTAAAACGGTGATGACTGAACCTATCTCAGGGGATTATTGAGAGGATTAAATGAGATAACATATATAAAGCCCTGAGCACAATCTCTGATAAGTCCTTCACTCATTCCCTTCACTTGTGCAAGTAACATTTTTTGAGCACATACTATGTGCTGAACACTGGCGAGATATCAGCAGAGACATAAACAAATAGAATCTTATAGTGGTAAGTGTGAGACGATAACATCAGAACAGAAACGTGAACAACGAGGAGCCAAGTATGCAGGGATCTGAGAGGAATATTCCGGAGAGGACAGCAAGGACAAAGCCCCTCAATGAGAATGAATTTGGTCAGAGCTGAGACAGGGCTGGCTCTCAATGAGAAGCTGGAGCAAAGTTAGATTGTGTCTTTATTTAACATTTTGATATTTTGTTCACCATGGATTTTTACTGCATTAATTTTAAATTTTAGAAATGTTCTTTATGATGATTACTGAGGTTTCTGGCACCTTGTGAATTTCGAACCCAAGGGGATGCGTCACTTACCTCCTCCTAGTCCTGGCTTCGTGGGCAGAAAGAAGCTGAATAAAACGGCAGCTGCTACTGATGTTGGAGTTGTAGAAAGTTAGGGGTTAGGGAGATTTTCTACAGAAGTTGAGATGGGCTGGTGGGCAAGGCCTGTGGTTCTGTGACTCTATGCTCGGAGCATGAGGTCAGGGTTACTGTAAAAAATAATCTAATGAGAAATATCTCTCTCTCAGTATTCACTTTTATATGTATATATATATGTAT